GAGAGAGAGAGAGAGAGAGAGAGAGAGAGAGAGAGAGAGAGAGAGAGAGAGAGAGAGAGAGAGAGAGAGCGAGCGAACGAGAGAGAGTGCGCGCGAAAGCAAATGACATCGTTCTTCAAACCATCAAATATGCATATTATCGTAACGATCTATTGCCCTAAGCCGGTGGTTTCCTAACTAGGGTAACTACCACCATAACGAGGCTGTTTCTCTAGGGGGCTGGAGTAACGAGGTCCTTTGGAGCAAATTAATGAACAGTAATTATAAACAAATGAGTAAATAACTGAATAGCTAAAAAACAAAACAAAACAAAACAAAATAACAATAAACAGATAATGACAGATAACAGATAACAGATAAACTCTTTTCTGAGATTGGCTCCCCGGCTTCAGTGTGTGTTGAAAGCAAAGTCAAGAGCAGAGAGACGCTGATGCTCTCTAGATGCTGATATTTTATCAAAGAAACAATGTCTTGTTTATTTATAATACAGAAAGAGAAAGAGAGAGAGAGAGAGGGGGGGGGGGGAGAGGGAAATAAAGCGACAGAAAAAGAGAGAGAGAAAAAAAAAGAGAAAGTCACGGTCACATTCTTAGTCTTATACACCTTCGTTAATTTACTAGATCACTGAATTCTCTCACACTCTCTCTCCCTCCCCCCCTTTCTCTCACTCTCTCTCCCTCCTCCCCCCTTCTCTCTCTCTCTCTCTCTCTCTCTCTCTATCTCACAGTGTGTGTGTGTGTGTGTGTGTGGTGTGTGTGTGTGTGTGTGTGTGTGTGTGTGTGTGTGTGTGTGTGTGTGTGTGTGTGTGTGTGTGTGTGTGTGCGTGCGTGCGTGCGTGCGTGTGTGCGTGTGTGTGTGTGTGTATGTGTATGTGCATGTGCATGTGCGTGCGCGTTCGTGCGTGCATCGGTGCGTGCATGGGCGTTTGTGTATGTGTATATTTACACCGAACATGCACGCACATTCCCACCCAACAAGAACGCACAACCAAGGCCTCTGTATACATTATGCAACACGAGAACGTTTAATGTATACAAATGACGATTAATGCTTAAAAATGCGCGCAAAGGGAGCGACATTTTCTCGCCTTCGCTGAAATTAAGAGACGGCGGGGAATCAGCGCTGCCAACCCAACGTAAGGTTGAAAGGTTGGTAACACTGAGTGAGAAAAAAAAAGAGTGCGTGAGTGTGTCTCCCTGTGTTCGTGTGGAGAGAGAGGGGGAGGGAGGGAGGGAGGGAGGGAAGGAGGGGGGAGGGAGAGAGAGAGAGAGAGAGGGAGAGAGAGAGAGAGAGAGAGAGAGAGAGAGAGAGAGAGAGAGAGAGAGGGAGAGAGAGAGAGAGAGACAGAGACAGAGAGACAGAGAGAGAGAGACAGAGAGAGAGAGAAGTTAAGAGAGAGAGAAGTTAAGAGAGAGAAGAGAAATAAAGAGAGAGAGAGAGAGACAGAGGCAGAGAGAGAGAGAGAGACAGAGACAGAGAGAAGTTAAGAGAGAGAAGAGAAATAAAGAGAGAGAGAGAGAGAAAGAAAGAGAGAATGAAAGAAGATAAAAAGTTAAGGAGAAAACTAAAATATTTTCCTAAAACTAGCAAGAAAACCGAATCAGATTCCTTTACTCAATACCGAAAAAAAGCAATATTGAAAACCTAAATTACAACTTCTTAAACCAACTTCTAATATCTATTTTCAGCGAACTACCTAAATAGAAGCGTAAATTGATTTCCCTAAATATTATACCTTCAAATAATTGTCCTAAATTTGTCGATTGTCGATTACTTAAATCTAAAACTAACTCTGTTTAAGTCTATTTAAGTGGAACTCCTTTTTAGGATTACCATCTTTACGTATATTAATTAAACCAATTGAATTTAAATCGAAAATGTTGATAAAATTTCTTGGATTAATTCCCTATTTCGAAGTGAGAGTTTTTAAAAAATGAGGATAAGCTAAATAATTATCTATCTATCAATCTATCTGTCTGTCTGTCTGCCCATCTATGTTTAGGACGATAACAAGAGGTATCTATCTATCCATCTATCTGCCTGTCTGTCTACCTACCTATCCATCAATCTATGCAAAGAATAACAACAAAAATGGAATAAAATAAATAAATAAATCCGTTGACAAGAGGTGTCTATCTAACCATCTATCGATCTGACTATCTATCTATCTATCTACGTAAAGAATTAGAAAAAAAAGAAAAAAAAAGAAAAAAAGAAAAAAAAAGAAAAGAAAAGAAAAGAAGAAGAAGAAGAAGAAGAAGAAAAAAATATATATATAATTCGTCGACTAGAAAGATTTCTCTATTCGATGTCTACGTTCGTACTCTGTGTCACGAGGAAGTCATATGACAAAGGTTGAGGGAGGGAGAGAGGGAGGTGGAGGGAGAGGGATAGGGAAAGGAAGGAAAGGGAGAAGGAGGGAAGGGGAGAGGGAGAGGGAGAGGGAGAGGGAGAGGGAGAAGGAGGGAAGGAGGGGGAGAGGGAGAGGGAGAAAGGAGGGAAGGAGGGAGGGGGAGAGGGAGGAGGGGAGGGGGAGGGGGAGGGGGAGGGGGAGGGAGAGGGAGAAGGAGAAAGAGGGATGGGAGAGAGGGAGGGAAGGGGAGGATTAAGGGGAGCTAGGGAAGAGAGGGAGAGGGAAAGAGGGAAAGAGGGAAGGAGAGGAGAGGAGAGGAGAGAGAGAGAGCGAAAGCGAGACCGAGAGAGAGAGAGATAGATTGATTTGATAACATTTATTTACAGAACAGTGTACATGCCCTGCAAAAAGCCAGGGTAAGATACCAAAGCATCTATCCAAACTGGCTGTGCTTCTATTTGTGTAGAGGGCCAAACATTAGTGTTACATACATGCCTGAAGGGCTGTGCTGTTATCACAATATTAAAATATCATCTGACTGGTAAAAAACCTTTTACATCACTAATCATGTCAAAGACAAGACCAGTGTCTATGATAAAGTTAATATACTCAACAAGCGCTATTCTGTGAACAGTACTATTTGATCGATAGGATGCAGTCTTTATGCAGCAGAGTAAGTAATGAGTGAGATTATGCGACTTGGGTTCCTTGCACAGTCTGCAATTGTGATATGAAACAGGTTTTGCATCCAAAACTGCATCCTGTACATATTGTATAGTGTACTGATATCCTATGCGTAGCCTAGTTAATGTAACCTGTTGTCTCCGAGACAGTCTGTGATAGACTTTATAGGGCTTGTCTAAATTTGATGTCCCAATAACACTCTCGTAGTGCCAGATAGTACCATGTCCGTCTTTTTTCATTGGTCCATACCTGATCCTCATAATCTCTAAGACAGTTGATAACTAGTTTTTTCATTTGATTGAGAGATAGCGGTATTACATAGTATGGATCTTCATGGGAAAGTGCTAACCTGGCTAATTGATCAGCCCTGTCACATAGTGATATTCCTATATGAGAGGGTATCCAGTATAGTGACACTTGGGTACCCCGTTCTGATAATTTAGAAATTTGGTGAAGGATACTCTTAGTTACCATGTTTTCTGGAGTAAATGCAGTAAGCCTGTTAAGAGCACCCTGGCTGTCTGTAAAGACAGCCAGGTTTCGCTGCTGTTCACTACCTTTCTTAATGGCATGATATATAGCTACTGACTCGGCATCAGTTGTGCTTGTCCAGTTGGAGATGCACTCACTTTCTTCAAGGTCTATATCAGGAATTAGAACACCAATCCCTGTTGCCCCATGAGGACCAGTGGAGGCATCACAGTAGATTGCAAGTGGGGGCGTACCATGAGGGGGATGTAGAATGCCATCTATATATTCCAAGTAATGAGCTTTTAATTCCGTTTTTGAAGCCATAGATTTAGACCCTATTAGTATATCAATATGAGCACGTACATGAGTTCTGTGCCAAGGAGCAGTAAGTACTGTATCTGAATATTAATAGCTTCGTTGTTCCATACATTGAAGAACAAGATAGTATGAGCAGTTTTAGTTTTCCATTCTAAGTTGGACTGTATGAGATTGGAGTATCGAGCCCGGGTATGCCTGACTATATAATTTATCTCATTTGATAGGATGCTGGAGATTTGTGGTCTGGGTTGAAGCTGCAGGAGCCTGATGTCAAGTATGGTGTTAACTTGGATGACACGACTGTGAATAGAAGGGAGGTCTAACTCTTTCCTCATGACGAGAACTTTAGTGGTCACTGGGCATCCAAGTATAATTCTCATAGCCTTATTCTGTAAAACTTCAAGGGGAGCAGCCACCATAACACCAAGATATTTGTAAGTGTCAGCTCTTGCAATAGTTTGTCCACCTAACCTTGGAATGTAAGGTAATCTACGAGATTTGGAAATATGCTTAGTTTTGATTGGGTTGATTATGAGACCAAGGGAGGCACACTTTTTTGCTGAACCTCTGGAGAACGTAATCCCCCCTATCAAACACCTGAATAAGAATGTCATCAGCATAGGATGTGATGCTGCATAGGTTTCCTAACTCATCATTGAGCTTGCAAAGAGAGTGCATAAGTATATTAAACAGTGTTGGGGACAACACTCCCCCTTGTGGTGTGCCTAATTCCAAATCGCCATAAGCACTTTAGATGCCTTGATACCACACTTTTGCTCTTCTCAAAGATAGATAATCCTTTATCCATAGCAGAAGCTTGCCCTTAACTCCTAAAAGAGTTAGTTCATGGAGGATTGCAGTAGGGGAGGCTCTGTCGAATGCTCCTTTAAAGTCTATGAAGTAAGAAGACTGTGCTTTACGTCCATTTAGGTACTGTGCTAGACACATTTGTGTTCCTCTCCCTTTTTGAAAGCCAAAGACAGATGGATGGATCATGTCTTTGATCTGATGGAGTAAACGCGTGAGGAGAATTCTTTCACAGGTTTTTGACAGGCAGGACGTCAGAGAAATTGGTCTATATTCAGCAGGCCGTCCTGGTTTTGGAATGGGAATGATGGTTGCCCGTTTCCAAGAGGTACTTTTGCAAGAAGTCGGATGTCATAAGTGATTCCATCATCCCCAGGTGCGGTGGATTTGCTAGTCTTAATGGCTGCAAGGAGTTCCTCCCTTGTAAATGGTGCATCAGCCTCATCTAAGAGGTGGCACTGGTAGTCAATTTCGTTTTTATGGCTTAATTTAAGGGAACACCTACGTATGGATAATGGAAGGCTATCAAGAGAAGACTCCTCACACCATTTATTGAGGAGAGATGAGGCTACCCTTTCTGGATGTGGGTGGGGTGTTATACTGCATGGATTGCCTTTGATCTTGCTAATTTCCTTCCATACATTACTCATGGTTGTCATGGAGTCAATTGATTCTGCCCTGGCATAAAATTTTTCTTCCCGCTTTCGTGTTATTATCTCATTGATCTCTTTACTGAAAAACACAAGATCTTTGGCTAAGAACGGGTTTTTCCCCAAGTGTCGTAGCTGGCCTACTGTAGATCGTATGAGTCTCCTAAGAAGTTTTATCTAAGGGTCTTTGTTTATTTGTTGTGCATGTCTGCCTCTGGAGGATAGAGATCTGTGATTGGCAGAGAGAGAGAGAGAGGGAGCGAGATCAAGAGAGAGTGAGCGAGACCGAGAGAGAGAGAGAGAGAGAGAGAGAGAGAGAGAGAGAGAGAGAGAGAGAGAGAGAGAGAGAGAGAGAGAGAGAGAGAGAGAGAGAGAGGGAGAGAGAGAGAGAGAGAGGAAGGAGAAGGGATGAGAGAGGAAGGAAAGAGGGAGACAAGGAGCAGGAGAAGAAGAAAAGAGAGAGAATAAAAGAGACCGAGACAGCGAGGATACGATTAGATAAAAAGTGACAGTAAGTGTTGGCCTCAAAAAGCATTAAATCAAATTTACACAAGAAAATAAGACGTGACGAGGAGGGGACGAAAACGCGGGATAGGAGAGAAAGGGGAGATAAAACAGGGAGGATGAAGAGAGAAAAAACAGACATGAAAGAGAAAGAGAGAAAGAAAATAATAAGAAGAGAAAAGGACATGAAAGAACAAAGAAGGCAAGAAGGAAGACAAAGATAAAAAAAGGAAGATGAGGAAGGAAGAGAAGGCGAATGAAAATAAGTAAAACAGGAAATGGAGATAAAGGCGAGTTAAAAAGAAAAGAGAAAGAGAAACAAGGCACGAAGGATAAAAGTAAAGGAAGGGAAATAAGGAAAAAGAAAGAACCTTAAAGAACAAGACAGAATATGGAGAAAGGGTAGAGCGGTAAGGAGAGAAAGGAAGGTTAGAAAGAGACAAGAAAGAAGAGAAAAGAGTGAGAAAGAGAGTGGATGACAATAAATGACGTAGAACACAAAAAGAAAATAAGGAAAGATAAGAAAAAAAAAATGACGAGAATAAGAAAAAAATGAAACAAAACAAAAGAGAAACTCACAAACAAACACAAAAACAAACGATACAACACAATCTAACACACAAAAAAATCCCATTTTGCTTTCAACCGTAACTTTAATTTTATCTTATTAAAAAAAATCGAACAAACAGACACAGACGAGGATGTAATTCATGCTCTCGGTTCGCGGAGAAGCTTCAAAAAAAGAGTTCTCCTGACCAATTCACCGCCCCTTTTAGCACGGTGTTTAGTAATTTGAAATACATATCTCTTAGAACCTTAAGTTTCTTCATTTTGTGTTCTGCGTTTGAAGTTATTCTTTTTATTTTATTTTTTTTTGTTTATATTTACGAGAAAACAAAACAAAACAATAATAAATAAAGAAAAATAATGAGCTGGCTTCGTTCGAAGGCGATGCTGACCTTGACTTCGACCACTTGTGAGGCACTTTCAACATTTGCAATTGCTTCTCTACGGTGATAGCACCTCAGAGGCATTCATTTATTTTGTTTATAGTTTTTTATATATACTGTTACATACAAGGGCTGATTCGATTAAAGACTGTTAAGACACATTGTGAATAGATGGATCGTGTTTATAAATCCTTAAGGTCGTCAGCTACTGGAAAGTCTATCGTACGGGCATATCTATTAGACTTATTAGTAACAGGAATAATGAGAAATATGATAATTATGGTAATGATGATTCTAATGGTTATAACAATGATGTAATAACAATGATTATATTACTACTACTACACCTACTACTACTACTACTACTACTACTAATAATAATAATAATAATAACAATAATAATCATAATCAGACTAATAGTAAAAAAAAAAAAAAAAAAACAATAACAATAATAATCACAACAAGATAATAACATCATAAAAAACAAGAGGAAACAAATGAAGACAAACACATCAGTGGCTCAAGAAAACACGAAAAAAATGAATGCATGACTCAAAGCACAGGATCATGCAGGTGGCCAAGATGCAAGCACATTCTTAGAGCAATTTTGAAAATCTCGCGAGCCCATTTGGTGAATAGGAAAAGTCAAGGTAATGCTGATGTATGAGGCACCTCGTTGTGACTATATTAGTTTCTTTTTCCTTCTTTTTTGTTATATGTATGTTGCATAAACACATATGCGTACATATATATGTGAACACTCTTTCTTTCTTTCTTTCTTTCTTTCTTTCTTTCTCTCTCTCTCTCTCTCTCTCTCTCTCTCTCTCTCTCTCTCTCTCTCTCTCTCTCTCTCTCTCTCTCTCACACCCACACATACATATATATACAATAATAATAAATATATAAATGGAAGCAATAATAATAATAATAATAATAATAATAATAATAATAATAACAATAATAAAACAAAAATATCAATAACAATAATAATTATAATAATAATAATAATAATAAAAACAACAACAATACCAATCATAATAATAATAATAATAACGCTAAATAAAGAATCACAAACTCCCACGCCCCAACCGCCGAGCCACTCACCATCGTCCTGTCGCCCGCCCTGGCTCCCCCGTATTCTCCTACGGCTAAGACGCCCTTCCGCAGCGCCCCCGCCCATCGCGCTCTCGGTGACACGCCCTCTGAGGGTTGCGAGGCGAGGTGGGATGCGGCGGCCGTCAGGAGGATGGAATAGAAGCCTCCTGACGATCCGCCCATGCTGACGCAGGCCACGTCGCCGAGAGAGGCCAAAAGGGCGGCGGGGTGGGCGGTAGGCAGGTCGGGGAGCTGAGCCGAGATGGCTGGGGGGAGGAAGGAAGGGAGAGGGGGGAGGAAGAGGATTGTTAATTTTTTTTAATCAGTTTTTTTAAGCTTAAATTCTAGATAGTTATTTTAAAGCTTAAATTTTATTAAGCTATATTAAAAGCTTTCTTTCAGTGTTACTCTAACAAATAAGAATCCGTAAAAAAAGGTCCAACTAATGAAATTTCAAAAATCTTCCCAACCTGTCCCATGCTCTGTTACCAACTGGGACAAGCTGGCACTGACCTCGGATCCCAAGAAGCAAGGTGGCACCACAGTCACCATCGCCGCAACCTGAGTCGAGGGTGTTAAGAAGCTCCTCGTGCTGAGGAACCTTTGTCACGAGTGATTCCAGACATGCCCTTAGGGCCTGGGCATGGGCAGGGTCATTCAGAGTGTAGCTGTTCCTCTGGGGATGGAGGTAATAGTAACAA